ATCACCAGCACCACCGCCACCACCAAGAGCAAAAACAAAAGCAACAACGACAACACCTGGACGACCACCATTATTAACATATCCTACAACCAAAATACAAATGTCACCAAGAAAAACATAAATTGAAAAAAAAGAATGTTCAAATTTTTATTTACGTAGATATTTATCTTTAAAGCATTATTTATCATAAGTTTACAATAGAATATTTTGAATTTTCATCATAGTTGCTATTACTATTATCAATAGCATTATCAAACAATTTACTACTAGTTTTTGTAATTATTATTTTAAAATAATATCATCATTCTACTAAATAGTGTACTCTCAACATCGAATTCGACAAACTATAAAATCAATCTATAGAGTTAAGTCAAAAAAGAAAATTTAATTGATGTAATACTAATTTAATCAACAAGAATGAAATTAAATATGTATAAGAAAAAAACATAGGATGAACAGAACAATACTAGAATTCTAAATTTGAGTATAAATTTTAGACTCTTTACAAAAGACAAATATGGAAAACCAATGTGGAGATACACATAAATGCATTGAAATTATTCTAAATATATCAAACGTTTGAGCAAAGTTTTATTTTCATTTGACTTCGATTAAAATATATCCGTCATGGTTAATACACTATACCATTGTCCCATCTGTACTAGTTATCACTTTTATTAGAAATCGATACGGAAATAGTAGTATATGCGAAAAGAAAATTCATAAAATGATATTAGCGATCATTTCATTTTTGCAAATTTTTCGTATTAGTAACATCCGACCAACTTATCATTAGTCTTGATCATTTTCTATCTAATTTTATTAATATAGTAAAAAGAGAAGGAACTCAGCGAGTAAAGTTTTATGTAACATAGTATTTTTATAATATCGAAGCATCAGCAGTAATAACAAATAAAAAAAACTACAACATTTGAGCAATATAATAACATACAAAATACAATATTAAAGTATAAATAAATAAACAACATATGCTTTGAATAATCAATTATTTGGTCTAAAAAACAGAAAGAACAAGACAGTTCTGATCATATTTGGTTTAAATAAATTTAGTCAAATAATTTCTTTCAAGTTTCATGGTTTAAAACTAACTTGAGGATTTGTTCAATTTTGTTGCAAAAAAAAAAACTTTGTTATTCTTTTCCAAACAAATCTAAATTTACTAAAGAATAATAGTATTCAACTGTATAAATGTCAAATACATCTTATAAAAAGATGTGGTTGGAGGAAAATTCAAGACTTACACTCGCACCCATAATCACATCAAAAACTTTTCTAAAACTGTTTCAACTAATATAGTTGTCTAGCTTATTAAATAGCAAGCATGAGTAGGCAAATTTTGCTTGGAGTTCAAAACCTCGAAAGTTATATGAAATAATTACTACGTAGATATTCAAGACCCTTACATCTATCCTTTATTTTGTTTCAATATTCTATAATATTGAACTAAGATTTGTATAAACTTCATACACATGCAAAGATTTCTGTTACTAATTACAACTATTGAAGATTGAACATTTCTTATCTATTACATAATTATAAATAGAAACCGGAGTGTATGTCAATATGATTCTCTTCATAGTTTCTATTGTGAAATATCATTTGCGCTGCTGGATAGAAAAAATTTGATACGTGCATGAACATTCTTTTTACTTTTATTCATTAATCATAAATAAATTAGTAAATTCTTGTGTTTTTTTAAACATATACAAAAAAAAAATGTTTATTTTTGAAAATTTATTAATAAAATTATTGTCCAGTAGTTATTGTATTGACTCGATTATTCATAAATCTATTTAAGTCTTTTTTACAAAAAATTGTTTTTTTTACTTGAACACGAAAATTTGGTGTTGAAATATAATAGACATAAAAACTACATATTGAATTTGTATAAAATAATAGTGAAGATATAACATGAAAAAAAGAAACATATGATGTTTGTTGTTGATTACTATCTATAAATATTAAATAATAAATATTTTCAGCAGAATATGGTATAGTTGATATTACAATAGTAGTAGACATTAATAAAAGCATTCGTGATAATTGTTTATCGACATTTAAATTTTTATTAATATTTTGTTGATTTTTTATCATTTTTAATTGTTTAAATATTAAAAAACCAAATATAGAAAAGAAAATTATTGGTATTATACCATGAAGAAATATTTGAATTATATATCGATAATAATATAAATAACTAGTCGAATAAATAATACATTGACCAGACGTTGAAATATTATAATAAATAGCAATGGGTATACTATGTAATCCAATTAAACAAACAATAGATAAAATAATTATTTTTGTTTGTTGTCTTGTTGTACTTAATTGTCTTAAACGAGCTTCACGTGATGATACTAAATATCGATCTAATATTGCCATACATAGACATGACAAAGAGATCATATCAAATGTATGCAAAGTATAATATCGTAATTGACATAAAAAAAACATATTGTTTTGTGTAACTGGATATTCATAACCATCAGATAATATTCGAGTGCATAATGGGTAGGCAATAACAATTATATTAGCTATTGAAGAAATTAATAGATACAATGGACTATTACTTGTTCGACTTATTATACGTTGTTGATTTGTTTTTGGTCGAGATCGAGACCAATTGGTAAAAACAAAAATATTTAAAATATTTCCAATTAGACCAAGTATTGATATAATAATACCAGCAACAATCATAAATTGATTCGAAATGTTATCAAATTGATTCATGATTTGGACACTCAATTGAGATAATGCTGTTAAGAATTATATAACGGGTTGAGAACAATTGATAAATTCTTTTTATCGATTGATTTATGAAAATTCTTTATGTCTAAGATTATTTATGATTAGAATGAAAGAGTAGATGCAAAATGAACGCTACTTAACATCTAAATGTTCTTACTTTTTTTTATATGTAATATAAGTTCCGTATGCAAGAAAACGGTCGTTAGCATTCCTTTCAGTTCATCTTTTTGACGAGAAGAAAGAAAGAATTTGTTATTAATAAAAAAGTGCTCTCACCTATCAGATTAAAGTCTGTAAGCATTGTTTTTGGCATAATTCTTTTTTTTTTTATACAATGAAGCCTTACGTCGTTTTTCAATTCAATGAGAAATTAAATTAATGAAATTTCTTTACAATAAACACCATGTAGCAAACTATAATTTAATTATTTAGAATTATATTTCTAATGAGGGTAGCAGATGTAAATAGAAATAATCGAGACTGAAACATGAAAAGAAAAATAATCATTGATTTAGTTGAATTTTGAATATCTTTGTACACAATATTCAGCTGTCTTGTAAATTTTGACTAATTACATGCCATTGGTTATTTCTTTCTAAACATGATATGTTAACATTTTCAATTTTGTACACAAGAACATCAACCAGAAAGATAATTATCAGGATATGTTGATACTGTAGTGAGAAACCTATGATAAAATATTTAGACCTATATAATGAAGTCTTTCAGGAATATTCAACAAACAAGGGTTAAAATGAGCTCATTTAGCAACACAAAGTTCCCAGTGTACCTTCATTCTGTACAATTTATTTTTTTTGGTTTGAAAAGGCGTGTAACGATGCAGAAAATGTCAGAATCATTTTTCTAAATTATTATTCTTTGCGAAGAAAAACCGGATACAAATTTTGATGTCTCAACAACTCTCAAACATAGCGGTGTAATTATCAAACAACATCGTTATATAGTAGTAACAAAGCTTATTTCAAACAAGGGACTCAGCCATGGCTACTTCTTAATTGGGGACAAAATTTCAGCCCTCACCCACACTGTCGACATGCTAATTGGTTTGATCTTCGTCCGCAATCAAGAAGACACGCTCAGGCCATGCCCTACGTCTCGACATGCTCCTTCAAAAAAAGAATCTGTTAGCTGCAATGAAGCTCGTTCGAGAATTCTAGGATGTGATTACAAAAAGGCAAACAGAAAAAAAAGAAAAAAATTTTGTTTTCGTCGAAAAATGTATATTTTTCAAAGTGCCGATAATAGAAATCATAAAAAACTTCGGCAGAAAAGGATATGCTAAATAAAAGAAACTTGATATTGCTGAACGATCCGATCATGGGCTATCTTTCCATGCATTTATCTTAAGTTCGACCATTCTAACAAAAAACTGACTTGTTTAGAGGATAGGGGACTTAAAGAATTTCTCTGGAGTCTAGAAAAGGCATATCTTGTGACCATTTAATTATTATAGTAGTTTTTCCAGAAGAAAAAATGTAATTCTAAATCCCCTTAAACAGGTTCAAAAGAACATTTACTTATCAGACGCAGTAAGAACAAACGAATGTCGACTTTTTTGAATTATTGATATTCATAAGCTTTAAAAAAAGCTATCAAATATTAACAATGAGATAACTTTTCACTACTGTGTTATTTGGAAAACTTAAATGAATACCGAAAAGCAGTAAGGAATATTCTCTAATGAATATGAATAGAGATGTGCATAGTAATATGCATAGGAAAAACTCATTGTGATACAAGTATTTGCCTGTTTTCGAAGATATTATATTTTATTTTTATTAGTTGTGCAACTACAATAATAGCTGAATATGAATTTCTCGACACCAGAGTCTAAAAACAAAATTGCATAATCAGTACAAAAGGATAGAATTTCTTTCTTTTGTAGGACACCTTAAAATAAAATCATAGAACAGTAACAAATCACTTAGAATTAATATGGTTGATATCAGCATTTTCCTAAGTTTGACACTTTTAGCTTTCTCTAGGTTAGCTGCAGCAGGTTTTTTTTTACTTTTGATAAAATATAGATAGTAATGTGAGTAATATTCTTTTTAGGCTTTGGTCTACAGAAGTTACGATGATTTGTAAGGGAAAAAACTCTTGAGCACCTCTTATTATCTGGTAAGAGAATTTCATTTTCAGATTCAGAATATTTAGTTAAGAAAACAACAATAGTAGTAGAAACAAATATATATATGATTAAACACATCGAAAAAGAGGTTTCCTTATGTTTTTCATCACAACAATGAAATAGGGGTATACTAATAAATAATGTAAGTGTCAAAAGAGAATATACTGTCGAAGATTTTCAGTAGAATTTCATTACAGTCAGATAATACTAGTGCACACTGTTAGGTACCTTAGAAAACGAAGCTGTGTTTGAATAAAGCATAACTTCGATAGAGAGTTAGAAGCGTTGAAACTGTTCTTCGTGATACGAAAACTTCGTAACTGTTTTTGCAATAGACTATGATGTCATCTATGATTAAACTTGAATATTTTTATCAACTTGTATTGTGCTAAATATTCATCTAAAAAATCCGTATTCAAACACATATTTTTTTTTCTATGATCAACTATGAGAAAAGACAAAAATCGATTAATAACGAGTGATATAGAAAGCAAACGAAATCGATTGTACTAAACTAACGAAGGTGTACAATTACTTTCTAGCTATTTGTTATGTCAAAAAAAAAACAGAACATAATTATATTAATTGAAAAATAGTCAGATTAAAATTCTGTTTTTTCTAATACGAGAAAAGATTATATTATTCAACGGATTCTTCCTCTACTACCGTCAGTATCAATGAATATAAGGTTCAAATAAAAAAAGTTTTCATAATATTCTGATATAAATAAATATATGAAAAAAGAATATTTAAAATCATACCATCAATCATCAACTTACGCCCTAGTCTCGCCCTAAGAGACGAGAGATGAAAGTTGTAATTAAATGGTATTTTTTTTTAGGAAAATTATTTTAGATATCATATGATTTAAAACAAAATTCACGAGCCAAGACGAAGAAAAAGTGATATTTGTTGGCTGTAATAAACCGAATAGGGAAAACTTCAGGATTTTTTCGATTGGATATCAATATATTTTGTCCTGTACATGTGTTACAGTAGAACTCAATAATTAAATATGGAATCTTTTCAATTTCTATGTTTTTTATATGAAGTCAATGCTTGTTTATTATAAAGAAAATATAGAGCTTTCTGTTATCTATTTTACTATGGTCAACCGATTGCATTATAGAAACACATAGTAAAGTTAAGTGAATTCTATCTTGGACTGGATTGGTAAAATCAGCATATTATTAAAGACTTGCAAATAGGCCACGAGTCATGATCACGCTTGACCATGATCGATGATATCTGGACAAATAAATATAAAACCTACAATAACACCTGTTTTTCTTTCTTACATTAAAATAAAAGAATTGAAATTTTTTAGTATGCTCATGTTTCACATGCAATCTTAACTAAAAATTTCGATAAAGTTAACAGCGGATTCAAGTGACATTAGCACAAGTTTTTTTTAGAGTTGTGTTTCAAGTATAACTAGACAAGTTCTATCGAATGCTATAATCAGATTTTCAATATGTCCAACGGTTTCTGCAAACATTTCTAGATTCTTGTCGAGTTTTTGGAAATATAGTTTCGGATATTGAAAGATATGATTACGTTGTTCGATAGAGCTCATAGTTTTGTACTTGGGACGTGAATAGTGGCTTTGAAACATGTTTCCAGGCGAATCAATCACGGATATATATAGACGGATTTTGAAAAATACCAGGTATTTCAAACTTTTGATAGATAGGATTCAAGCTATGGGTGATCCAATATTACCTTTGGGTAGAGATCATCAATGGGTACTTTTAATGCACAAAAAAAGAGCTCTGAAACGCGGTTCAAGATGAATTGCTAGTAACTCTATTGATGTTAATTAAAGTCAAAACAAACAAACAATGATTCAAAGAGCGCTAAATTTTTGAGTATAAATTATGACTTAATATTACTCTAATGATCACTAGTTTTGTCCTTAATTTTGATTTTCCTTGAAGTATAAATATTCATCATCATCTTTATGTTTATTATCAGGTTTCCTCTTTGATTAGTATATTATTAAAATATTTTTTGAATTGTTCTTTGATGACAAATCATAACTTTGATAGAAGAAATCGCTCTTTTGATTGAAGTATTGACTGCTGGAATAATTAGGACTTCTCGAGCAAGACCACCATTATTTGGAAAATCATTTCTTTTTATTTTTCCAAAAAAAAGAAAGTAAAAGATCATCGACAATATCTGAATCAAAATTGTTTTGTAACTGTGCCATCATTTCATCACTTCAACATTTTATAATCAAAATATATTAGAATCTGTTGAATTATTACTGAAGGAATTAATACAAGAAGTAATATTTCATGATTATAATTAAATTGCCTGATCTTGCAATAATTGATCATCAGAAAAATTTCATGAGCCAGGATACAATAAAGTGGCTAATAAATGTTCTCATTGAATGAGCTCGTCGATAATTTCCTTTTCTAAATAAACAGAACAATTACCGAAACAAGTGTAGAGCGCAACGTTGAAATAACTTATGACAGAATGCAACTAAGATCAGCTTCTGAAAAGCATTAACGGTGTAGTTATATCAGAAAAAGTTCTGCAATATATTTGTAGAATCACCTTTTAGTCATTTTTATTCAAATGTGTTTTGTTACAGTAAGTTTTAAAATGTGTTCAGTTTGACTCATATTCTATTTACGTTAGCTATATTAGGAGAACTTGATATAGATCTCAATACATTTGATAAAAATTTCTATTGTTCAGTCATTGCATATTTGAATAGATCATAGGAGTTTTAAAAAGACTATTCACTTCGCATCCCATGTTTGAAATTCGACTTCTTATAAAA